TATTAACTACTTTATAAGTAGTAGTACTTAATAACTACTACTACTTATTAACTACTTTATAAGTAGTACTACTTAATAACTACTAATACTTATTAACTACTTTATAAGTAGTAGTACTTAATAACTACTACTACTTATTAACTACTTTATAAGTAGTACTACTTAATAACTACTAATACTTATTAACTACTTTATAAGTAGTAGTACTTAATAACTACTACTACTTATTAACTACTTTATAAGTAGTACTACTTAATAACTACTAATACTTATTAACTACTTTATAAGTAGTAGTACTTAATAACTACTACTACTTATTAACTACTTTATAAGTAGTACTACTTAATAACTACTAATACTTATTAACTACTTTATAAGTAGTAGTACTTAATAACTACTACTACTTATATTAACTACTTTATAAGTAGTACTACTTAATAACTACTACTACTTATTAACTACTCTCTTTATAAGTAGTACTACTTAACTACTTTAACTACTCTATAACTACTACTATAACACGCTATTTGCGTCAGTAAATATTAACAATGTGGACATATTTAAAACTAGTTAAACGATCACTCAAGATTCCTTTTACCACCCTTGTGACAATGTGCCCTATTCTTGTTTTATAATGATCATAGGATTGACGTTTATTTTATTTGCAGATCACAATACTCTGCATGGCGGTGGTCCACGTGATCTGCGATCTACCACCGGGAACCAGACGCAACACATACTTGCCACCTGAGCCAACGAAAGGATACAATTACGACACGCCAGGGATACCATTCCCAAAACCGACCACCACGAGACGACCGTTTTCGACGACGACGCCTTATCCAACCAGACCTTTTAATAGTCCCAAACCGACCACGAAGTTCCCGTCAACGAGACCAACCCCTGGCACAGGGTACCCACCTTCGGGCTCAAGACCCACACCGGAATTCCCTGAATATGGTACACCGACTGGCCCCACTCCTGGTGGTGTGAGTATCAAGCTCATCTTATAGATATTATTATAATTAGATATTATTATAATTTCAAGAAGCGCAGCTCAGACGAATGAAGTATAACAATTTGTTATAGCATGACCACCACCACCATGAGCCAGGCATGCCGTTCGACTTTAACTATGCGGTGAAGGAGGACGCGTTCGGTAACGACTACTCCCACAACGCCATCAGTGATGGGGACATTGTTCGTGGAGAGTACAGAGTTCAACTTCCGGATGGAAGAATGCAGATCGTCCGGTACACGGCCGATTGGAAGCACGGGTTCAGCGCGCAGGTTTCCTACGACGGGAACCCCCGTTTTGACGTTCCTCGGCCGACCGGCACCTTCGCGGGATATTAAACACCTCGTCGAGCCTAGGGTTGCTAAATCATACCACGTTATGGGACCCCATACACCTAGAAACTAAAAAACGAAAAAAGACGAAAATTATTTGTTAATTCGTCCTCGGACGATCGAGATCTTTCTCCCTGTACATAATTTTATCAAAACATTGTTATCGGCAAACAAAAGTACGTAGTTCGAACTGTGATCGCAGAAAATTTCATCGAAAAATTCCGAAAGACATTGGATATCTAACAGAATTGCTCTATCAGAAACACTGAAGAACGAAACGAAATACTAATTTCAACTAAATGGATGCGAGTAGTATCTGGCATTGATTTTTAAGACGAAGAATTTTTTCAAGTGGAAAAATACGATTTTAGTCCCGAAGAATCGTTCATTTTTTGCTATTAAGAAAGTTTTAAAGATCCTGTGACAAATACGAAATACATATGTCCAAAATAACGGATTTCGAGTCAATCATGTTTCTAATTCCGAAGATATTCAAGCTAAGTAGATTGTGCTTATCTTTATGAACTTTTCAATAGAATTATTAGAAAAGACTCTTTAAAGGTAAATAAATTATTTTTGCTTATCTAGGTGTATGTCATCTCTTAATAAAAGTTTGTCTCGGGATTCTCGCCGTCTTGTTGCATACCACTAATTAGCCGAATCGTTTGGATAAATGAGATTCCAATGTATTTTCTCCTTTTCGATGTCGCTACAGTTGCGGTTGATCCTGATTAGGTATTTGGACATTCAGAAGTCGATATTACTTTACTATTTCTCCTATGACTCGAAGAGGGCAATGACTTTGACTGAATGTTGTTAGCAGTGTGATATTGAAGTATTTGATTTTCAGAAAAAAATGATTTCTTGGAGAAAGTATTTGAATTTAGCAAAATAGTTCAGAAAAATTAGTTTATTAAGAGGATATTACGGTTTAAATAATATTTTTGTAAACGATCTGATTTCGCTGAAGCCAAATATCCGTTTAAAAAATTTGTGAAAATGAGTTAGAATTCCCTTTGGTTGCATGAAGAATGTTAAAAACGTTCTCGTTAACAAACTCCTTGTCCTTCCAAAAGTATAAAGGGATCGAACGGTTAATTGTGAGTCGCATTTGGAAACATTGTGGTAGCATCCTCCTGCAGGATCAAGTGGTTTAATCGTAGACGTATTCCTTTAATTTCCTGCCAGTACTAGATACAAATAATAAGAGCAATCCCTTAGCCCATATTTTCTATTCCTCAGTTAGTTGTGTCCAATGGACACGTATACATAGAAGGAGCAAAATAAAAAGTTGTTCAAATCAAAGTGTACTTCTTTCTGAAACACAAGATGTCAGTTAAGAACTAATTTTTGTAGTAGTAATATTTAATTTAATCAGCGCTAATAGAAGACCAGTACTAACCCCTTGCAGTTCAGTTTCTTGCAATGATTTCGCTCTGAAAAAACCATAGAAAATAAACAAGCATACTACATCTCTGTTGTGTCAGAGATTATAATAATATAGCCAAGGAGATGATGATGAAGAAGGGAGAATTCATTGTATTATTTTTTATAATAAAAGTATGTGTAATTTAACATTCCTCTTTTTTACTGTATTTCTTTTTATACTATCAAACCAGACAAAAATTGTTATTGTGCATTATAAATTGTTTTCATAATTAGGACATATCTTTGCAAGTGTTACACGCTGAATAATCAATTCTTAGAACTATTACTCTTGACATACTCTACAGATAAAAAATATAAATTTAATAGTATACTGACACTATCAACCACTAGCCACCTCGACCAGTAATTCTAATGTATTGTATAGAAACCAAGACAATACCTAAAAGATTATATAATATTTCATTTGAATAAAATATTTGTTATATGTATGTACACAACATAACTGGTTTTAAAATAGTCTAATTTTTGCAATGTCTAAAGCAATACTAATTACTGTAGTTCTTTTCAATCGAGACAATGTATACCAATTCAAAAATTAATGTACACATAAAAAATATGTAGCTTGTTGTGCCAGTGTTACTATGGTAAAATTGATCGTCGCGCATGTGCGCCGAAAATGTTGTAGTCTTAACATCATTGAAACAAAGCAAAGAGTGCAATATTGTGCTAATTGTTAGATAAGACAATGATTCGTAGTTAGAAAGTCGAGCTAAATGCCTACTGATTTATAGTGACACCCAAGTTTGATTCTCAACATGACTCTGCCACTGTCAAGAATTGATTATGCAGCTGTTGGTGTCACATCCAGAGGCACGACGAAGATCTTCCCTCCATCAGACAACAGGCAGACTCAAAAGTTTGCTGTCGGTGACCATGACGGAGTGTTACATATATATATTAAGTTTCTTGTTGTATTTATCTGATTGAGTCTTTACTCAAGTCTTCTCTTTCATTAATGAAACTTTCATTGTAGGCATAAAGAAAGGAGAACTGCAGGTGGCATTTAAATCTCTACCAGGTCCAAAGATTAGCAAATTGGTCCTGGGAGGCACAGGGCATGACAAGATTTATATTGCCCATGAAAACACTGTGAAAGGATATACAAAAAAAGGAAAGCTGTTTTTAGATTTTGATACAAATCTCATAGATCCTATTTCAGCAATGTTAGTTCTTTACATCTTATTACAAAGATTGTAATAGATGCATTATATAAATTTTGATACACTCTTCATAGGTACGTGCTCGGACCAGATCTTGCTGCATGTGCCAGAGATCTTTATCACAGGTACCATGATTGCAAGGATGCTGACTCTTACCTAGCAGGTGAAACCTTATATGATGTGCTGCTACTACAAGCTGAAGGTGCGACAGTTTATGCTCTTCTTGCTTGCGGAGATTGTGCAGTATGTAATCAAATTACTAAATATAAATCATTTAAATTGATCTCAATAAATTCAATGTCTTCTAGGTACGTGTTCTTCATGGTACAAAGATTCCAGCAGTTCTTAGACTACCAAGCATACCCACAGTGCTGTCTTTATATAGGTACCTTGCATTGTACAACTTATGTTAATTTATTTTTTTAACAATGTTTCTTATGGTTTTACAGAGAAGGTGAGTTTGAATCCAAAGATCGAGTTCTACTTGGAACCATGGATGGCAGAGTGGGATTACTCATTCTTCAGGGTAATAAAACATTGAGGATCACTTGGCTACTAAACGTGACTGGCTCTGAAGTCACTGCTTTAGATACGTACGAATTGCAAGATGGTTTGGATATATTGATCGGTAGGCAGGATGGTACTGTCGATGTGTATACTTTTCCTGATGAGGAGTCATTACCATCCCTTCGGTACCGTTACGTAGGTATACACATCATAATCTGAAATGTTAAAACGGACATTGCTACCAATATCTTCTAGAATGCCAGTGAAAGTATCAGTTCTGTGGGAGGTGGAATAATTGGAGCTGCAGGATGTCCAGAAGTCCTAGTTACCACTTACTCAGGACGAATATTTGGCTTGACTACCAGGTCCCCTGGACTTCTAGAAGTTGATCAAAACGAAGGAATAGTAAAACTGAAAGCAGAAATCCAACAGTTACAAGATAAGCTTAACGAAGAGAAAGAAGCAGCCAATTTTACAGTTGATCCGCTCGCCCCGTTAATTTTATCAGTGAATCATAGGTAACATATTCATTATTCATATATGTATCTTTCAAAAAAATGAAATATAAGTGAATCGTTTCTAGAATGGTTTTGAACAAAGAAGATGCGTCGTATTCACTTTCCATAGAGCTCGATACTCCTATTGATAACATTTTGGTGCAATCAGACACCCCGATAGAATTGTTGGATGTTGAAAGTAATAGTGCAGTTGTGAGCCTTTCTGCCTGTAACCCAAAGGATGGTAATTTTGTTCTTGCCACCTACCGTTGTCAAGTAAGTAAAGATGGTAGAATCAGCTCACTAATTTATCAAATTTGTAGAGTACCTTTACAGTAATTATTATATTAACAGGTAAATATTAATCATCTCGAAATGAGAATAAGAACTATTGAAGGTCAGTCAGGTACCTTGCAAATCTACGTAACTTCACAGGTATTATATTATATATATGGTATCCTATTGATATTGATCAGTTTGAATAAGTTACACATATCTTGTATCGTAGGTACAGCCAAAATGTTGTCGCAAGATATCAATACCCATATGCGCTCTTTCACTTCACTCAAGACAATTCGAAGATGAAAGTCCATTATCTCCTACTGGACCATTCAATGAATTAAAATTGATTGGGAGCTTCACAGTGGCTGAGGTATTTTCATAAATACATTTTTCATTTTAATTTTAATTAATTGTATTCTGGTCTACTTCAGATGCATGCCTGGCTTTCTCTAACATTACCCAATGTATCTGAAAGACCTCACTTACAAGATGGTGAAGCCACTTTAACGTACATCTCATCCTTTGTGGGCTCAACTCTGAAATGCACTTATAAGTAAGACTTTTTCCATACTATGACTTTGGTAAGTTTCTCATGTTTATAATTTTCAGGAAAGGAAATGCAATTTTCTTTGGGGAAAATATATCGAGCATTATAATATTAAGAGACATATTGACCAGAGAAGCAACAAAGAGGAAAATTAAGTTAGATGTGTTTTGCGGTATGGTATTCTGTTGCCATTAAATCTTGTTTAATGACCACATAAAGTACAATGGAGGATACTTCTGCAGGTATTGCAGAAGGTAGCATATCCAGAGTACTGGAATTAATCCTCCCACGTTTGAACATTGCCTATGAGCTGACCACAAAGGTAAAAATTTTAAATGCGCTTGAGGAATGGGAATTGAAGGAGAATCCAAAAGAAAATCTGAGTTCAGAGTATCAAGAATTGCTCCAAAAGGAAACAGAGATTAAATCACAAATGGCAAAGGATAATGAAATTTTGGGGAGACTGCATGGAGTGATTACTGACCTTTACGTTGATTGGGAGAGAGCTAAACGATCTCGCAGGTAATGATAATATATATAATATAATATTGCACTGCTATGTTACAATTAATAAACTCCTTCATTTCAATTTTGCTTGCCGTTTATTTTTTAATTTCTCTCATTTATCTAATCAGTACCATATTTTTTCTAATCCATGTGTAAAATATTGTTCATTTATTTTACCTAGCTATATGCTATTATACAAATTATAATAAAAAAATTAGGAACATAATTTTTAACGTAATATGAATAATTGATACATTCTTTAATGAACATTCTTTATCAAACAACTTTAGTCTCTAATATGTTCGCGTATTAAAATTTTTAAATTTTATTCTATGAAGAAGTAAAAACATTTAATAAATTGCACCACTCTACATTCTGTAACGTTTCAGAATTAATAGCAAGGATGCTGCCGAAAAACTTAGTGCAGCACTCGAAACAAGAGAAATGGCTCAGCTGTTACAAGTTTTTATAGATACAAGTAACACGGTACCCGCACCATCTTCAGCGACTTCAATTACCTAAGACTAATCTACAAACATTTTTATGGAGAATGCAATAAAAGTGGACCACGATGTTTCTATAAATGTCTTTACGTAAAAAATATATTTTTCAACGACGATTCGCGATATAAACGGCTAACTTACCTAGACTTAAAAATGTACATGTACAATGTTATCTTGTATTAGTGTTAATTATAGTACAATATGTATATATATGTGTGTGTGTGTGTGTGTGTGTATATATATATATGTATATGATATATGCATATTTATATATATTTATATATTATATATATGCAGATGAATTGATATATGTTTTGTAGGATTTTCCTTTAGTTTCGTACTTTCCGTAGTTCCCTGCTAAAAACAGTCTTAAAGTGTCTTCTTAAGGAGTATACCGCAGAGAAACTGGAAAGTACACTATGCACATTATATAGGCAGTGTATCGATGCGTAGCACTTTGTTTAATCATTTATGAAGGTTCATAGTGTCACAAAGCTTCATGTTTATAAAATAGATATTTCACAGATTATATTTCACATTATCCCAAACACATGATAGTGTGCTATGGTACAAAAACAACTTTCGGCTTTACTCCCAACAAGTGTTACATAAAGAAGTACTGCCTGCAATAGTAATGATATAAGCAAAATCAATTGTCATAAATTCTTATCCTGTGTTTTAAAAAAAGATAACGTAAATTTGTAAATCACTTACATGTTGTCAGTAGTACGTACAACCGCTTCCAATGGATCTCTCTCTGGATTAGTATCTGACGTAGTGGTCACTGTGTATTCTAAAGTCTGACCTCCTGAATGTGGTAAAATACTTTCAGGATTATCATCTGGCGGAATAATTTCCACGACGCCGTTAGCTTCCACTTCTAGTTTCAGATCTCTTACGAGATCTTGGATCGTTTTTGCTTGCGCTTTCTTGTCGTTCTCGTCTTCTATGTTCTTCACTGTAATCACCCTGCTCAAAGACCTCCCTTCAGGTCTGTTTCTAGAATGTGTGTGCATATGTCTCTTCATATCACTCCGCACTCGGAAAGGCTTCCCACAGACTGTACATGGATGTGGTTTTTCTCCAGTATGTATGCGTCGGTGATTTTGTAGGTAACTACTCGCTCTGAACGTTTTGTTGCAGTACTCGCATCGATAATTCTTCTCGCCTGTATGGATCCTTCTGTGAACAATTAAGGAATATTTTCTAGCAAAGTCTTTCCCACAGTATTCACATTGGTACTGTTTTTGTTCCGAGTGAATGCTTGTTGAGTGGTATTTCAAGTCTCCCCATTGACGGAAATGTCGACCGCATTCCTCGCATTTATACGGCTTGTCGCCACTATGAAGCCGTTTGTGCACCTATAATGACAACAACTTGATTAATAAATATATAGACTATATCTATATAATACTTTTAAACATTAATATTCGACATTTCATCTCAAATACCTTTAATGCGCTCGCTGCAAAGAAGCTTTTACCACAGACTTCACATTGATGTGGCCGTTCCCCACTGTGAGATCGCATGTGATACACTAAACTATTTTTATGGTGGAATGACCGATCACATTGAGGGCATGTTAATTCATCATCTGTAAAAATAAACACCTTTTTTGATATGCGATGCTCTGAAAAAGAACACATTGGTCAGTAAATATACATACTGGATTTCCGAGCTTTGAAAATTTTCTTCTTTTTCGATGTTTGTGGAATGTCAGTCTTTTCTTTTTCATGCAAATCCTGCTCATTAACAGTCGACGGTTTTACATGGTCCCTGTGTACATGTTCTGTAACATCTGTAATAGTCCACAATGGTGATTCATTATTTACGGTAGATAGGGGGGATTCTGTATCATCATCTATGTGAGCACCAGTTTCTTCCACTGCAAATATTGAAAATCATGTCAAGTAAAGTGTGTAGGAAATTAATATTTGTCCAACTACTGTACTCTCTCTTTCTCTCTTACCAACACCTCGAATGCCTTCCATGAGGTCTTCCGGTTCACTGAACTCCTCAATTACAGTATTTTGTAGATTTTGTACAGACTCTGGTACAGATATTGTAATATTGGTATTTGTTGCTTGTGCTATTCTGGTTTCCTGCTTCACAGGCTCATAGTGTACCTTGTATGTATAAATGATATTTCGTTACAATAGATCTTAATTACAATAACTGAAAAATAAATTTGAACACAAATTACCTTAAGATGCTCAAAAAATTTTAATTGACTGCTAAACCTAGAGCTACACAGCTCGCACTTAAATAAATGAGCTTGCACATCTCCAATTGATTCTGCTTTTGCAGCATTTGCATTTGACTTGTTGCTATCTTTCTTTGCAGAGCTCTTTTTGGTCTGCTGCTTCAATTTACGAGGAATTCTCTTTTTGTGAGGTAAAGACCTCTTTGGTCCAGAAGTTGCTACAGTGTCTTCGCTACTTTCTGCAGACACATCGAGGTCGTATTCACTCTTCACATTTATGAATTCTTGTTTCACATTATGTGAAATTCGTTTGAAAGGTTGTAAAGTTGGATATACTGGTGGACCATTTGACTGTGTTACAGTTTGAATGGAATAAGTATTAACAGGTGTTAAAGTCTCTAAATGAGAAACATCTGGCAATGTTGAATCATCATGTTGGGACTGATTATGAAGTTGCTGCTGCTTCTGTTGTTGCTGCAACTGAACTGCAACCAGAGCTGCTGCCAATCTACGATCTTCCTACAAAAATAATCAGGATTTAGCGTTTATTTTAGAGATGTAAAAAATTCAAATAATTACCTCTGTTAATTCATGCTGTAATAAATCATCTGCTTCGTAATATTGTGTTGCAGTAGCATAGTCTGTTCCAACGCCAGCATTGATCATATCAACAACCATTCCTTCAGAGATTAGCTCTCCATTCAAAGTTAAAAGTGGTACACTCTTGCCCAGAGATTCTCCATCTGCCCTTTGTATGGTGATATATTGTGTACCTTCCATTCCTTCTAGCAAGACAGTTTGACTCTCTTCTGTTGTGACTTCCATAATTAATTGCTTTTGCTACTGACAAGACAAAGTGTCTTCTACAAATATTTCCTTTCCATTTGTAACAGCTAACTGTTTGTGCCTGAAAATGACAATGCTTTTGTATTTGGACTTTTGGAGGAACATTTCAAGTCGCACAACTTATGTTTCCAAAATAACTGAGATTATATGATACAGTTAAACAGAATTATACGACTAAACCAACAAACGTAGAGTAACAACAAAAATAATTATCATTTCGTAATGGGTTTGAAATGAATTCTCTGCGGATCAAGCCAATATCATAATTCAAAATTCCCGCGTTCGCGTACTTTAGAGATGACAGCGGAATCAAGGTCACTGCACCCGAAGCTCTCAGAAAATTTCTCTCATGGCTTGATTTGCGTCCTGCCGGAAAAAACGGTGTTCTCTGGTCTCCTTATACCAACCTCCGTAAGCCCAAACGGATTTCTTGTCTTCTTTTCGCGAAACTCGAGCGACATAAACAAAGCAAAATATTGAAACACTGTAGGACAAAATGTGACAACAGTGCTTGGGTCTTGACGCCATTAGAACGGATGTTCCCTTTCCTCGCCGCCTTCACAGATAACTTGTTGACGACAACGTAAGACTTCGAAAAACACTAGAATTCTGATTCTGATCACGATTTTCTACTTAAAATATTTTCTTTTTTCATCGTTATCATAAAATATTTCAAACATTTTTTCGCGCGCATGATTGTACAGCGCAACACTTTTCATATAAACGATTTTATTTAAATTTCGAGAAGCTTGCAGGGAGCTTTCGAGTTTTTCCTGTTGAAAGACACTTCCTGGAGCAGGTTCAATGCAGTAATTACAGCAAAGTGTCAAAATCGCATTTACACTTGTGCAATTTTGATATTGTATGAATTGCATTGCTAAAGATAGATCTATAATGACAACTTGCTAATTAAACTCGAGTAAAAAGTGCCTTTACGTAATACATATTATATAACTCATTTTACTTTCGAATCTAATCGATTCGAATTGTAATAGAACGTCACTTCATTTGTAAAATATAGTTGGGAACAAAATTAAGTGAAAATATAGNGCATTTACACTTGTGCAATTTTGATATTGTATGAATTGCATTGCTAAAGATAGATCTATAATGACAACTTGCTAATTAAACTCGAGTAAAAAGTGCCTTTACGTAATACATATTATATAACTCATTTTACTTTCGAATCTAATCGATTCGAATTGTAATAGAACGTCACTTCATTTGTAAAATATAGTTGGGAACAAAATTAAGTGAAAATATAG